TCACTTGCAATATCAAAAACCGTCTATCTCTCTTCTATTCTAACATGGCTTCGCTTCTACTGTTATGGCATAAAATAGCATTAATAACACTAAAAGCATGTGAACTCAGACTTGATTTCTTAACTCAATTTCTTCATTTGTAAATAGAGTTAATAAACAGCATAGAGTCAGTATGAGAATAAATGAAAGCAAAAAACCTTAGCTAAGATACTCCGAGAATGTAGAACCTAAATACTTGGAAATTATAGGTATTATCATCATCACCATAAACAACATTGAACTTCTTGGTATATGCTTAAGATCTAAATCAACCATCTGAACTTAATATAGGAAGCATCAGGAAGTTTTGCTTGTTATGTGTAAAACAGAATTATTTCATTTTCTCAAGTAATTTCAAGTTACAAATATGAAAACGTCCCCTCTGTAGTCTGAAACGCTCAGGTAGCCTCTCTCGGTCTTTGTATATGTTCTTGAGAACAGTGGTTTCTTTTATTTTCATGCTTGCTATTTGTTGAATTTTATACTTAGTAGAGAACTGAACCATGGCAGTTTCTTGTCCCAGGTAGGTCATCGCATTCTGACATGATAACAAAATAGAAATGCCCCAAAATTTGGCAGAGTTAAAAGTTCATTGATTGAATATCTTCTCTCTTTATGAGATTATGTTCATTGTAGAAATATTAGATGAAGAGAATCAGATCTCTGGCTTTGAAGTCTGGGACTTGTCCAGAGTAAAGGGGAAGAAAGAATTGTACACAGATTGTGTGAATAGAAAGGCAATCAGGTACCTCTCCTCACTCTCTGATGGATATCACTGTCCCACCTCTTTCCATACTACTTCGAAAGTACAATGAAGAAACACAGGTTAGTATGCTGAGAAAAGACTACTCAAAGATTGATGGCTATTCTGCAAAGTCTAGTTTAACTCGAAGTCCTCCAGGAAATATTCCACTACTCTTTGATCTCTGATTTTCTTGAAATCCTTTGAAAGTTACTATTTAATCATTCTGGGATTTAATCATTTTCCACATAAATGGCAAAATTGGTTGCTTCCTGGACATATGTAGATTATAATAATCCTTCTGAAGGAAAAGATTCATGTTTTTTTGAGTCATGCATAATGATATGTCTGTATTTATTTGAGAACCTGAATGTTTTGTTGTTGTTACTAGATTAAAGTTTGGTAGAAAATAGATGACATTGCTTTGGTTTCTATTATTTGAATGGATTTACAATTTGTGACATTCAAAAGCTTTCATTGCAGTTCAAACATTCAGGTAAGATTAGCGGCAGCCAACATGATAACATAAACCTCCGTATGTTTTATAGTATAGGTTTTATTTTAATTTTTAATCAACATTTACTTTTTGGTGCTTCCTAAGTGGTGGTAAGAACTTGTACTTTCTTACAGAGTAACAGCATACAAATCCAATTGTCAGGCAAATGAATTGTTATGGCTAGAGGAAATTTGGAGTGATCAGTCATTTGTTTTAATGCCACATGCATGGATAGTTTAAATGGAACAACAATATTCCCAAAGCTCAAGATTATCTGTTTGTATTAGGACACATTTTTATCCGAATTTTTACTAAACACTACTGAGGCTCAAAGTTTATTAACATAAATATGTGTTTTTGAAAGTAGAGCTAAAGAATTATAAACCACAGTGAAGACATCTGTATTTGAAAACTAGTACATAACTGTGAGCAGATCCAGTTCTATATATTTACTTCTAACACTTTAATTCTACCAATTTTGTGTCTGGTTTATGTATCATACGTTTCATACCTTTATTTTCTTTCTTTTCTGCTCTCACTGTTAAATTTCTACTCTTCATTCCTTCTCGTTTCAATTATTGTGCCAATTGTCCCATCAGTTTCTTCCTTTCCCATAAAACTGGTGTTTACAAAGTACTTTCCATAATATAATATAGCTCTAATTTTGTGATTTTCAGTTCAAAATCCTTAATGCCTCATTCTTGCCTGCAGAACAAAGTCTGCACTGACTGGGTAGTACTTTTCCATCTTTTTATTCTTCTTTCCCATCTAGACAATTCTTACCCCAAATGCACTAGCTACTTTTTTATACTTTGTGCACTGAAATGATCTTGTTCTGTTTTCATGTGTAGCTGTAACTTTCCAATCCGTATCCATTTTTTTTTTTACAGTATTCCCTAAGCTTGTTTGGATCACTTCCACATTCAATCCATTCTGCCATGACCAAGTTCATTTGTCACCTCTCCTGTGCAGTTATCTTCAAACTCCTCAGAAGTATTAATATTCTTTCTGAGTGTTTTAGAAAACAGTCACTGTATTTTTAAAGAATTATCTATTTTAGACCTCAAAATATATTTTAATGTTTTTCATCAGAACTGAAATGTGAAAATATCTTAAAAGCTTGGTCTGTTTTGGCCACTGTTGTGGCACAGCAAGTTAAGGTGCTGTTTGTGATGCCTCGTTTCCACATTCAGTTCCCTGCTGGGGCACTCAGAAAGCAGTAGATGATGGCTCAAGTGTCTAGGTTCCTGTCAGGCTTGATGGAGACTCAAGAGTTCCTGTCTCCTGGCTTTAGCCCACGAAGGTTCCTGCTGTTGTGGTCATTTGAGAAGTGAGCCAGTGTATAAATGATATCTCTCTTGGTTTGCTTCTGTCTCTGCCTGTCTGTCTCTTTTTTCTTTGTCTTTCAGATAGGTAGATGGTACATGGATAGATGTATGCTTTTTAAAAATGTGACAACTTTGGTACTTTCATGTGCAAGCTATACTGCATAAGTAGCAGAAGTTCAAAGAGATATTGAACAAATGATTTAATCATTCATATTGTACTTGGTTGCTTTGAAATTGTTGTGTTTGTATAAAAGATTATGATTAGGATCTTTATGAACCCTAACTGACAATAGTGAAATGAAAACTATTGATGTCAACAAACCTGACTTGCTTCACAAACTACTCTACAGCTCCTTTGGGGTTCCACAGATGTATCTCAAGGTCTCTCCTCAGCAGTGAGAAAAGATAAATGAATAGAATTTTTCACCCCACATTCAATCTTGTGATGCTACTCCATTTTGTGTATTGATTATCAAGGAAAAACGTTTTTGAGATAAAGATTTTACTGCTAAAGGAAATATTTGTAATTCATTTGGATTCCAGCCTTGGCACACTTTGATTTTGTTTTTGTTTCAAATTTCCATTTCATAAAATGCTTCATATGAAAAGTACATGAATTGTCTATTTGGTTGGCTAAAATATCAAAATCTTAAAAAAAAAAAAAAGAGTTGCCTCAGATAGTTTTTTTATCGTGTCCCTAACACTTGAGACATGACATTCTTCCAAAGTCTTTGGGTTTCATTCTCGATATGACCTTACTGACAGGAGAACTAGTAGCAGCTGCATTTTGAGACATAACTATCTTTCTGGAAATTCTTCATGGACTTAAAAGATCCCTTAGACAAATTTCCCTAATCTGGAGAAAGAATTGGGTAACAACATCGGGGGGGTGGGGAGCAAAGAACTACCAACTAGCTTGACCAAAAGAGATCTTTACTGCGACACATGATAATGAAGCTCTCTTCAATCAAACATAAGGAAAGATCTTTAAAAGCACTCATGAAAAAAAATCAATTGACCTACAGAGGAATGACAAACTCACAGCTGACCTCTCACAGAAAACTCTACAGGCCAGAAGAGAGTGGAGTGATATATTCCAGATTCTAAAAGAAAAAAATCGTCAGCCCAGGAAAGTTTTCCTTTATCATTGAAAATGAAATAAAATTTTTCCACAGTAAAGAAAAGTTAAAAGAATACACCTCTTCCAAACCTGCCCTGCAAATGATACTTAGAGACGTTCTCTTCACAGAGAAAAGGAATAGCACTCACCAAAATGAAAAGCAGACATGAAGAACATCCCAGTAAAGTAAAAACAGAAGTCTAAATCAATGAACAACCCATTGCTACATGACAGGACCAAATTACCATCTAATTCATATTAATCCTGAATGTAAATGGCTTAAATGCATCAGTCAAACATCATAGATTAGTAGACTGGGTTTAAAAACCAAAATCCATGTATTTTCTGCCTACAAGAGACACATCTTACAAACAAAGATTAGCAGAAACTACATCTCATGCATTTTGATGTTTGTACTTTTAGTTCCATGCCTTCAAAACACCATTTTTTCTCATTAAATTCTTCACCGACTCATATATCATACAAAAGCATCATTCTCTTCAAAAAGGTTCTTGATTCTCTTTTTCGCTTCTTCAGTGACGCATCAGTCATTCAGTAGCATGTTATTTAATTTCATGGCATTTGTAAATTTCTGTTTTTTCTTCCTGTTGATTTTGTTTTGTGGATTTTAATTTAAGGGGATTCATAGTAACTGTGTACAGAGACTATCATATGTAGTGGCATGTTGTTTAACTTCATGACATTGCAAATTTCTGGGGTTTTTTTCCTGTTGTTGATTTTGTTTTATGGCTTTTCACTTGGGGTGATTTATAGTGACTGTGTAGTGGAGACTGTCGTGTCTAGATATAAGGATACAGTGCAGTGTGTATGTCTACATCCAGATTGAGGATGGACTCGCAGTGAGACTGTTGGATGTGTCATGACAGTAGGATGCTGGACTTTACCATTGTCCATGCCTGAAATGATGGACATATGTCTGTTCATGAGGACCTACACTGTAATAGTGATATGGGAGAACTCATTGCAGGGAGGTGATTTGTTGAGGGGTTGGGGGAAATCCCAGGGCATATGGGACTATATCCTAAGATGATAATAATAAAAACAAAATGGAAAAAAAGATCCCAAAGAACCAATGTTACAGCTTTCTATTTCTGTAAAATATCAAAATCTATCTCCTAATCTATGGCAACCTCTCCCCCTAACCACAGAATAGGTACAGACTCTAGTTTGCAATCAATCTAAATTGTATATCACTGAACTCTGCATTAGATTACTTGTTATTTTTTGTAAGTTCATTAGTTTGGGAGAAAATACCTGTTCAAGTCACGATGTATAATTGGCTGTGTCAGGTTGTGAAGGTACTCCATACCCTTGGCAACATCCACTGCAATAATTAATTTAGACTGCAAATCAAGAATCCTAGAATTTAAAAGTAGATTTAATGGAGATGAAATAGTCAAAGCCAATAGCATATCTTTAAAAAATCAAAAAGTAAGTGTGATTGTCTACTCTGCAATTTGACTTTTTGCTGTATTGGAGGTTAAGCTAAAAATTTTGCAAATTGGAAATAAAATAGATTTCTACACCAGAAACTGCATAAATGTAGATCAATTCAGACATGTAGCATTTCATTATTAAAATGCTACATACTATTTTTGCAATCTATTTGTAATGCTATACTTAATTTCTTTGTAATAATATAAAAATGAAATTATTTTAATCACTGAGTGAAATCACATTTTAATTACTGTATGTATATATCTAGGAAGTGAACTCAAATTAGAATTGTATAAGACCATTTCTTTTTATAACTTTCTTTTATAAATACTGTGGGCCTGGTAATTATTTCTTTCTGAGCTTACAAATGAGTATATCTGATTTCCTGGTATGTTCAATTTAGCCTATTTTTTTTGTAAGCTTTAGTTGCCAAGTTAAATTTCTTAAAATTTTACCATCAACTGAGTTCCTGTTAGGAAATCACAGAAGTATTTTTAGTCATTGGAATAAAACTATTGGGCATGAATTATAAGTCACATTTAAAATACCATACTTGGTAACACATAGAAGTTTGAAGGCGAAGGTACACACAGCCTCCCAGGTGTACCAAAGGCAATTCTATTCCCATATGCTATGATAAATCAGAATCAGAGATCCTTACCTCTTCTGCTCATGAAGGAGACTGAACAGAGAACCTCCTGATACATATTGAGTGACAATGGCAAACTGGCTGGGATCGTTCAAGCAGGCTCCCACAAGCTGAATAACACAGGGATGATTGAGCTGGCACAGAATGGACACCTCCCGGCAAAACATATCTACATCTGATTTGGAGCAGTAGGTGTTGGCTCGGTAACTGAAAAGGCAGCAACAGGAAATCCTCACCAACAGATGGATGCAAACAAGGGGCTTGCCATACATATGCTTCTCAAAGGTTGCAACTCCACCTGCATGCTCAGGGTTTTCATTTGCATTCTTACCGTTTTATGGCTACTATTTTATTTCTGCATCGTCCCTTGTACACTTTCCCAAAAGAACCTAAATTGGATTAAGAAAAATAAACACATATTATCTTGGGCTCGTTACACTAAAGCAGACTGAGGATTTCTTAAGTTACCTGAGCCAATCATTTCATGGAACTCAATTTCTGAGAGTTGAAGGTGGAAGTGTGAAGGCAATTCAGCTCTTAGGAGAAGAACATCCGCCTTTTCTGCAAGCAGGAACAAGCACTTTATTTTTTTGAAATAAAAATAAAAAATGGATATGTATACACACATCCGTAATCTGCTTACAAAAACATTAAGATTTAGTTTATTTAAAACATTTAATTTTCCAAATGCAACTGACTATTCGACGTTACTAAAAATCTTGTCACAATTGACCTGTGACTCCTCAATTAAAAGCTGTTAGTTCTCCATCTGATTCACTCCACTTTTTTTTTTTTAATCAAGGCTACAGAATAATTTCTTCACCTATCCCTAACCAGTTATCTGCATGACATGGCAACCCTGGAGTGTACTTGATTTCATATCATGATAATGATTTTCATATGGTTAATCCTTCAGCAGATTCCAACAAACTTATTCAAGTATGTATAAGTTGAACCTAAATAGATCCCAATTAACTGACAGGAAATAGGCATATGAAAAATTCCTGAAAAATCACTCAAATAAAATAAAAATAAAAGATAAAATTATAAATAGTGAAACACATGTTTATGGTAGACTTGCACTATTTAATCTGTTCTAATATTTTTAATTTCTAAGTGTAGAATTTGAGGAAGTTTCCACGTTCTTACTTATTTGAGTTACTTGAAAAACTATTTTAAAAAAATAGAAAAATTATCCCTAGTGCTTCTGAAAGAAATATTAGTATTGCTGATGATGTTTTACCAAAAATTCTCTAATATTTGAAATTTTCATTGCTATAAATTCAGGAATTGGAAGGGCACAATGGGCAAGTTAAACAATGAGAATAGTATGTTGGTAATATTGCTGCTTATAAAAACTATTATTTGTAATATGTAAAACAAAATTGAAAGCTATCACAGTGGAGGCAATAATCATCCTTAGATATAATTATAACAATTTTCCATGATATAAGTACCTTTTGTCATGCTTTTGATCTTCCCCAAGGGGGATGGAACAGACACATAGGAGCCATCTAGAAATCAAATTAGAGAGTTGGAAGTAGCAATAATTTCCCTCCATTTAAACGTTTATGAAAAGAAGTAGGTGATAAAACCTTGTAAAACCACAGCTTAAAGCTCGCATCTTCCTGAGTCTGAAACTATACTAGTGTTTATTTTGAAAGTGCATAAAAGGAAATTTTAAAATGCAAGCTGTGGCAGATTCCATCATATTTCATTTATGTCCAGCTGCAAGTATTTTCTGTCCTGCATTAATAGATTACTGAAATGGAAAATATCTACTCTCAGCTCACCCATATCACCCAATTCATGCAGAAGCATAATGAAATCCAGTCCCAGAAATGTTAAACATGTAAGAAATGCAGATCCATGGATTAGGAAATGGCACCATAGAGATTTCTTTGTTTTGTGTTCAGCTTCACTTAGAAACGACTTTTCTTAAAATTAAGCTAATCTGTCATCCTACATTCACCCCATCCTAGCTCCAGAATGATAAAAACTTAAACCAGGTTTACCTTTAGACACAGGATTATACAAAGTTGAAAACTTTGTTAAGACAGTGGTTACCTCCTCCAGGCTGAGAATATTCATTGCAGGGCAATTCCTCCTGGGGTCGCTCATAATGTTTTAGGAGTGTGACAATGGCATCATGTCCTGTATGAAAACAAGAAAAGATCTTAATTTGTTTTTTTTTTACTTAGCCATTGCTGATCCACAAAAAATACAGAACATATCCTAAGGGATCCTATATTGAAATAGGAATTTTATTCTTTATTTATTTACTCATTTAAAATCATTTTAAGATACCTGTATGTTAGACACTGTATTAATGACTATGGTGAGTACAATGAAAAACATGACTAGACACCTATCCCTAAGCCAAACAAATTCTTGGGCTCTAGCCCCTCCGATTTTGATTGAAAACAGCTGTAACAGGACATGAGCACTGCATTAGTAACCAGGTCCCAGGTGATGCTGATAAGCAGCCTACATTCTGGGTACTAATAAGGGAGAGCTTTGGGGGTTAGGGCAGAGACCTTGGATTTTAGTATCAGTGAGATGGTGAACCACTAGAGGGGTTTTCATTGGCTGAAGGTCATGGCTTTCCTTTTTTAAAAGTTCCTTACTTCCAGGTTGGAATGATACATCTTTGTAAGATCGTTTCAAAGACTAAGAAAATGTGCATAATATGCTTTATGATTCTAACACGAAAATATCTTCTCACTTTTCCTTTGCTTACCTTTTTGACCCAAGCATAATAAATAAACTTGGAAAAAAATTTTAAATTGTCTTGGGAACTTCAGATTAATCTTCTAAGTTCCACCATGTTCCACTGCTGCTATTGAAAATGATCACAAAATCAGCGACTCAAACAGCCTAAATTTTTCAGTGGTCTTCTATGGATAAAACCAAGGTGTCAACAGGGCTCTGTTTCTTACCAGGGACCTCAGGGTAGAAAGTGTCCTTGTGAGTCCCTTTCCTACAGCTTCGAGTAATAAGGTTATTTCCACTTTTCCCTATCTAAGGATCTTTCTCATTATATCCACTGGATAATTTAGGGTCATCTTGTTTTATGGTCAGCTCATTAGCAACCTTAATTTCCCTTTTCCATGTAAGACAATATAGTCACAGGTTCTGGGTGATAGAACTAGACACTTTTGCAAAGGTTCCATACTGTCTGATTCCACATCAATATGACCTTTCTTTTAGATCTTTAAGAGTATAGGATCAGGAGGAAAACAAAAAAGTATTTCTGTTTTTTCTAAAGAGATATTCCATTTGCGGGGACGGGGGACAACTCCAAACCCTTAGCACCTGTCCAAATACAGCAAAGCTTATCCACAGAGCCCACCCCCACCTGTCTCAGCCCCTCTGTCCAATTGCCTTCCACTGACAGATGAGGGCCTGATGCTTTCCCCAGTGAAGCAGAAAGTTGCATCCTGCATCCTGGGTGCGGTGTGAGTCGGTGATCACACCCCTGATGTTACCTTTCATTTCGACAGCTCTCTTGGCTCCACTTGTGCTGAGCAGTTTTAATTTCCTGCCAGCACAGTGGCACAATTTTCTGGCATTTTCTTTAGGATGCTTTTCATCAAGAGTCTAATGAGTGCCTGGGTTCTGGCTGATGATAAGCATAAGGCTGCCAGGGAAATGCCAAGAGGCCCCCCTGTTCTGGAAGGCATCTCTGCATGATTTCCCACCTCCTGCTAACTGTGGGCACCCACGTGTAGGAAAATTCTCTGCTGCTCTGACTGTTCTGACAAGCCACTAAAGTGTATGCAAAAAAGCCTGAAAAAGTACCCGCTTTGCAACACTAGGCAACAAGGAGTTAAGCAGAAAAAATAAAAAATAAAAAAAACATCTTGATGGGGCTCAATAAATAGACTTGTTAAGCCGACTCATGATAATGGATACACTCAGATAAGCAAGGCCGACTAATGGAACATGGCCAGAGATAATCAAACTTCCACTAATTAAATGAAATGTTTTCCTGTATCTCAGAATTTACTATCTACATCCAACTGTTTTACCCAAATAGGAGGTTGCTATGTTATTAGCTTAATGCAGTTTTAATAATGATTTGCACTTTCAGAGTATTATTCATTGGTGCACCTGAGGGTTTTGGTACATGTGATTCCATGCAAGCATGAGCTCCATCGCTTCCTGCTCCCTACCTCCCAGTCTTTGTCTCACCTAAACACTGTGCTCTCCCATGCTCCTTTTATCAGTTTTATATGGTATGATTCCCCTTTACCCACAAACCTCTTTGATTCCCTTTCAACTTTTTGTAAAAGTGTTTATTTTAAAGCCTATACCTGTAACATTACAAGTAACTCCAAATGGCTATTATACAGACAGTCATGTTTCTGTATCATCCTGTACACACTGGAGCTTCATACTTATTTGAGGAGATATAAAGTTTCTCTGATTTCTCTAAAAGATTCTCTCTGCATCCCCTAACATTTCAACTGAGAAGCAATGAATTCCAAATCTCATCCTTTGCTGTGAGAAATATTTTAAGAGCTAGATTTGGAAACCGATGGCAATTGACACGAGCATGAAGATCTTCTCATAACTGTGCCTCTCAGACCTTTTGGGGTCCAAAGCTAACAAAGAACATAGGAATTGGTCTTAATCGCAGATTCCAAGAAATTGTTGTTGGATTCATATATATTTCAGCCTCAGGTTTCATATTGGACCTTGCCCAATATTCCAACATCACCCTTTCTCATTATGTGACTGAAATATTTCCAGAAATATTGAAAGGTGGGATCAGAGGACAGCTTCGGATCTTGCTCTGATATAGATCACTTCCCTTTGACAATCTTACTCCTATATGCTGTCAATTACAACAGAGGCAACAACAACAACAACAAATCCTTTCTGAAATTTCTCAAGACTTATACCTAAAAGCTGTCTTGCCTTTATATCAATGTGAAGGGATTCAGAAACCCTTTGGGCCACTATTCCTGTCTCTTAATTACCATGCCCACACGAGACTATCAACACTCTGCCTTAAGATGAGTATCATTATATTTTCACAAATAGTAATGTACTGCACTTGATCTTAGTCAAAGGGCTGAGAAGCGATACACAAATAGTGATGTAAAACCATTAGTTTTACTTCCATATCCATATCATGTTATCCCATGTGTCCCAGTATTTTCTCACATAGCTCCTCTGCCTCTGCACCTCCGCTTCCTCTGGAAGGCAGATGTTTAGACTATGTATCTTTGTTATCTAAAAACTTGAAGAGAGTTATATCTACACATGTATGAGAAATTATCAGCTTAATGTTGTGCTAATCAAGTTTTAGATATTATTTATATGCATATAAGTAAAGAGATATGTAGTCATTTGATATGGTAGTTTGAAAACATGTTCATAGATTTGATCTTCCCTATTTGCAGGGGAAACTCCTGTGAAATAAAGAGGCTTGCAAACATGTGTCATGAATTGCACAGAATAATGCATGTTAAAATTATACCTCTATGATATTTTGATTATTTCAACATTTCCTTGGTTTTAATTCAGTTCTAATATTTAAAAATTAATGCTATACCTTGAGACATAAATAAGATATTAGTATAACTAAATAATATTTGCTTTTAAGATGGGTCTTGGGAGATCTGAGTGTTATATATAGTTTCATTATAGGGTTTATAAAAATACTCATCACCTACATCAAAGTTTTTGTCACATAATAAATCATATCAAAATCAGAGAAGAACATGGTGTCTCAGAATTTTGTAGACTTAGTTGCAGCACTGCTCTGCACTTCATTACCATCAGTTTCATTGAGAATCTGTTGTATCTTGTTAACTCTAATAAGAACTGTGCAACATGGTCTTTACTATCCTCATCTGAAAATTATGAATTTGTGGGCAAATGCTAAAAGATGTCAACCTGTGCAATACTGACAAATTGGATGGAACCTGTGCTTAGAATTATTCAATTTTGGAAAAAAAAAATTTTTTAATTTTGGTAGTAAGAGCATGAACTCTGAAATAATATAGACCTCTGTTTGGTTCTAGTTTTTATTTAGCAGTGATTAACAGCATTAAATCCAATTCTTTATGGGATAACAGCAATTTGAAATGTTATTTTAATAATTAAATTCCATATAAACAGAAATTCACGTTATAAAATAGGTTCATTATCCATTTTAAGTATACAGATTTTTGCATATTTTAAACTTAAAATATTTTTATGAATTATGTCCTTGATTCAATGAAAATTCTTCCCATTGTAATAATACTACATGCTATTTGGGGGTTTTTTTTTGTAATCTTTAAAAGTGAAAGCAATTAAACATGTATAAAGTTAACTGCTACACCCAAAATCACACATGGATTTGAAATGCTGAGTTAATCCCTTAGTCACTTTGCTACATCATGAGAAATTGACTCTAAAACACTCAGTTAGGTTTACAAAACAAAGTGCTTAGACTCCGGACAGATAGGACTTGGTAAAGAAGAGGCCTGAAAATTTATAGTTCTTTTTCGGAAATTTAGCAAAAAAAAAATCTACCTCTTCTTATTTATATTTCCCTACTCTCATCTCTGGTTTATTTATTTATTTATTTATTTATTATTTTGCTAAAAGCTACAGAAACTCTAAATTATAAGATTTCATTACTTTTAGAGAATTCATTATAGTCAATTTATTAAAAATAATTCATACCCTACTACCTTTGTCAAAAGAAATGAACAAAGTATATATCATGGTACAGGGACCATGCTTTTTATTGTTTTTGCTCACTTACTCACTAGGTCTACAGCTCCAGTTCTCTGTCACCATGAATTAGAGTGTTTCAGTTGTATACAAATATTGTATTCTGGATAATTAGATATAGGGATAGGAGTCTCTGTAAATTTCTTTAACTGATGTCAGTTCTGAAGCAAATAAAAAGTTTTTACTTCTGTTTCTGGTTTAGGTTGTTTTCTGACCCTAAACTATTTGATATAAAAAAAAATGCTTTTCTTTGTCAAAAGCAGCCTTTTCAGATCTAATTGCAGACACAGTGTTGAGCTATGTGTTCAATTCTAATTGGCTGAGATCTTTTCAATTTGCTAGTTTCACATTTAATGCGATGAAAGTATGATTATATGCAGGTCTTTTCAATGGGTTTTCCAGACTGGTGATTAGGATAGAGGATGTGAACATAAATAGGCTTCTGGCTGCTTCTGATGGCCAATTTAAATTGATCCATACAAGTTGTTTTTAACCAAGGGAAAGAGCAGAACAAACCCGAGTGAGACAGCTATCACCACTCTGTATCTCTAAGCAGTAGCAATATGGCACAGAACTTTGAAACCTAAGCAGGCTATGTAGAATCAACATCACCAGGAGAGTTATTTCCCAAACTGATTTTCATCTCTTCCAGTTAAAAGGGTTATGTATATGGAGAACATTCTTCATATTTGATCATACAGAGAACTATGGTTAGTAAACTCTTTACTGGAAATATTGATAAACAGAATTCCAGAGCACTCCTGAAATGTCTTATTCATTCTAACAGAGAGAAGTACTGCTGAGAAGGATTCCAGAGTGTTTTCTTTAGAGGATAGGCTATGTTGAACTGTGCATTTGGGGCATATGCAAAAGCAGTTATTTTCAAATAGATAACATGTAGAAGCATTTCTACATCATCCTTGTTTACAAAGAGGAAACCCCAAGAGCAGTTTTGGAATGCTTCTTGAACTTTATCAGAATGCCTATGAAAACCCTTAGTATTATCATTTTAGCTAACTTTGTGACTTTCTCCCCAAAAGAGAAAGAGAAGCATTTATTTATGCAAAAACAGCAAGGACTCTGTACTATTAACAATGTAAATGAGGCCATTTCAATCCTCTTTGAACACATGAAAACAGTGCATTATTTACCAAAAAAAAATAATAATAAAATAAAATAAAACAATTTTATTTGCTGGTTTGGCTTATCTTGCTCTAGAACATATGTAAAACACCCATCTGTCTCATAGATATTAATGTTCAATTTGTAAAAATACATAGAAATTCTGAATTCAACCCTGATTCCTATCACACTAGTTGAATAAATAAAGGTGACAAAGCTGACATATGTTGGAAAGACTAATCAGCAAATTCTGTAAGCGAAAGGATTTTTGTTGTGGTTTGGTTGGAAATCTTAGAAGCTTGCACAATGATTCACTGTATCAAAAGGTGTAGTATTCCGCAAAGTAAAGAAATAAATAAAAGCGAAGCCAGTTGTTAGCTCTCACTCTCAATCAGCTAAGAACAAACCAAGCCAACTCTTGTGAAGAGAAAGCCGCAACAGCAGTTTCTGTGCTGCCTCTGAAAGACTAATGCTTTGTAAACAGTCTTACTCTGAAACTCGCACTGTGTGTGGAACACTGTCTAAGAATCTCTTGAAAAAATGCAATTGGATTGAGAAGCTAGAATTTAATGATATTTCTCCCAAAACCTTAGATTATTTATTGCTTTCTAAAAGATACTCATATACGAAGCAGAAGGTCATCGTACATAATAGTACACACATACTTTTCATCAAGACATGTATAAGACACATATTTGAACATTAATAGCATCAAATCAAAAAGTACTCAAAAGTTTGTGAATAGTAGACTGAATGAATTATGATGTATTCATGACACATTATCATATACTACAAAGAACTGACCATCCAGCCACCTGTAATTATGTGAATGGATCTCACAAACTGTCAGCAAGGGAAACCAGAAATGAAAAGTGTACACTTTAACACTTCGTTTTAAAAAATACAAAAAGAAGAACTGTCAGAAGAAGGCAGTGGCACTGTCCTTGGGAGAGTGATTGAAGGAGAATATAAGTGGGGCATGGAGGGGCTGATCACATTCAGCGCCTTAATCTGTAAGCTATAGGTTCAGTCTAAACATTTGTGGAGTTGTGTTTTTATAATATATACTAAGCTGTTTACATTTTTGTATATATAATACCCAAATAAAAATTAAACAATATAGTCATCTAACTCATTACTTCGAATCCCAAGTCTGCCCACTTATCTATGAGCTATCTCCTATGTCATTTTTTCACTAACAGATTTCAGATCTGTATATTTAATTTTTCTACTTGATTATCCCAAAGCAGCTCTCTATTTTCCAGTTTATCTACTTTCATTCATCATCCCATACTTCTTCTTTCACTTATTGATTTTCGTATACTACATCAGGTAGAAATCCTTTTAGATCAAATGGTTAGACTATGAAATATTACAGTTGTGCATTGCATTTTTAAAAAGATTTTTATTTTAGTTTTGTTGAAAAGTCAGATACACAGAGAGGAGGAAAGATAGAGGAGATCTTCCATCCGCTGATTTACTCCCGTAGCAGCCACAACAGCCAGAGCTGCACCATTCCGAAGCCAGGAGAATGGAGCCTCTTCCTGGTCTCATATGTTGATGCAGGACCCCAAGGTTTTTAGCCATCCTCAACTGATTTCCTCTGCCAGAAGCAGGGAGCTGAATGGGAATCAGGGACACCAGGATTAGAACCAGCATTTATATGAGATCCCGGCTTGTGCAAGGCAAGGACTTTAGCCGCTATGCTAACACATTGGGCCCAGTGCATTGCACTTTTAAGTGTGATCTTTTAAGATAGAAAAATATGGCGCTGATATACATATACATATGTGCACACAAATACTTATATTTATATGTATATATAAGTAAATATACATATATATTTCAGTACATAGTTTTAACATTCCAAAAGATAATGCAATTATCCTAATTTAAAATAATCACTAAAATATTTCCTAAAAGTCTTACATGCTTTTTAAAGCCACATTTTTCAATGACAGTATATGCTATACTATGTTAAATGCAAATCTAAACTCCTTAGGCATATATGTGTATGTAGATCTTACTGTGGAAGTGAATCTTAAAAACAATGACAGAGATGCTAATGTGCCTTCTGAATAAAATCTTTACTTATATGCTCTTGGGATATGCAATTTGTTATTGATCATCTGTACTTTTCACTGTTTTTGCTACTGCTATCAAAACTAAAATGCTAATTATAGACTTTTATTTTGTGCTGTACACTTTTGTCAGTAATCTCCATTATGTTATATTATCTCAGTTAATCATTATAAACTTCTTGAAGTAAAAGTTGTTATCCTCATTTTTGGACTGGTGTGTGGTGGTAGGCAATGTTCCATGCTAACAAGACCAACTCTAGATCCCCATGTGGGCTGGTACATGAGTCTGACCCATACAGATCTTCCAGTCTCCCCCCTCCAAACCACCAAGCCTCAGTCCCCTCACTTTCCTGTAAGTGCAGTGGTGCTGTCATTGAGTGTCCTCAGAATACATTCCTCTCCCACATGTAATGTGACCTTATCCATAGATATCCTTAGGCAGTAATTCCAGACATCCAAGACCCCAGAGCTTGCCTCTGAGTGGCCAGTGGGCAAAGCCTAGCTCAGTTATTGCTCTCATTGCCCTCAAGCTCAAGATTCACCCACCACTTCGCAGCAGTGGATGGGGTGGAGGTTATTGCGGTTGCTCCAATTAGGCTGCAGCTTCCACTAGTGTATGTGGAGGCTGAGTGTGTAGTGGGCAGGGTCAGGGCAGGCTGCAACACCCATTGGTTTGTGTGAAAGGTAGGGCTGAAGACAGAAGTAATCCAGGAATTGCAACCACTAGCATGTACATAAGCTAATAGAGGCACTGAACTCTGCCGGACTCTATATTGATAAGTACACACAAGAATCGGATCTGGGATCACCTGATATGAAGTTTCTGTAGGGATCCCCCCAACTGAATTGCTGGATTCAGAACCCAACCATGGAGAGAATCGCAGGTTCCATGGTCTGACTTGTGGACTGCACGTATCAGAGCTGGGACTCCTCAATGGCTTAGATGGAGCAATAGACAGCATACCCAGGTGCACATGGAGGACATGATAGTACATGGAAGTTTGCAGAGGACACCTGGTACCATAACACAGGACAGAGGACAAAACAAATTGATGAACTACCCCAGCCAAGAGTTGTCAGTGAATATTTGGGCAAACAAAGACTCTAAGGTGGACTGTGCCAACCGATTCTGGAGAGATTTCATCATGCTTGGAGTGGCGAGATTGGCAGTAATTTGGAGCTGTTGAACTATTAAAACCTCATGAGTAGCACCTTCAGAGCATGCCCCACATCTGGGACCCACCTGTGTTGCACCATCTGTGTTGGTGCCAGGTGGCTTTCCTCCATCCCAGGGTGCAGAGGTGTTTGGGAGGCTGGGTGTGGCTTCTCTGCTTGTCTTCTACCTTCCCCCAGAAACAGGAAGGTAAAAGAGAGAATGTGGAAATAATGGTTTCACCCAATTTCCTGAAGTCTTTGACCCTGATTACCCTAATCAGCTATGTACAGATCATTTAAAATAAAAAATTAATATTTTTTAAAAAAATTGCAAATACCTCTTTCATATGCCCACATCAAGCATGTCTGCTCATCTTTTTCACCACTAGACCTGCTGGGATCACAGGCTACTAGATTCATATCAGCACCATTATCCAGTAAGAACTGAACCAGGTGAATGTGGCCATGGTAGCAAGCAGAATGCAATCCTGTAATAGAGAACAAAAGAGTGGAATGAGAAAAGAAGAAAACTGCACCTAGAATTTCAAAAACCAGTCACCACAATAGAATAGCATTGTCCTTAGAGTTTTGAGATAAAGATTAATTGGTACATAATTATATCACTGAGAAAACAAAACAAAATACTTTAAGTTGGAGTAGTACATTCTAGTGGACCTTTTATGTATATGCTATTTTAGTCAGACTCAATTTCTAGTATTTCTACATCTGCTATAATTATCAAGAACAAGTGTTAACTTCTTTACATAGAGACAAAATGAGTACTCCAATGGGCATATTTGTCATGAACTAAAGGCAGGAATGTTATTATTCAATCTGCTCTTGGTAGGGATCATAAAGGAGTACATTAACTATATACTTTAACAAAATATTTTTTAAATATTTATTTTAAAGATCTATTTATTTTTATTGGAAAAGAAAATATACAGAGAGGGAAGATATACAGAGAGGAGAGACAGAGAGGAAAATCTTCTGTCTGATGACAGTGACTGCAACAGTCAGTGCTGCGCCAATCCGAAGCCAGGAGCCAGGAACTTCCTCCAGGTCTCCCATATGGTTCCAAGGCTTTGGGCCATCCTCAACTGCTCTCCCAGGTCACAAGCAGGGCGCTGGATGGGAAGCGGAGCATCTTGGATTTGAATAGGGAACCCATATGGGATCCCTGCATGTTCATTCAAGGTAAGGACTTTAGCTGCTAGGCCACTGGGCCTGTCCCTAACAAAATACTTATACTGATGGATATTCCCTCTGCATTTTATTATCATTCACTGTCAAATCACATAAAGCCATCTAGGCCACTCCTGCTGCCCACTTTTGCTAAGCACACCAAACTTTCTTGCACGTCAGGAATTGAATGGTCATCTTACCTGTGTGTCCATCCCTTCCTTGGTGATTGATATTTATGACATTCTGATCAAGAAGGAATTTAACCAGGTCAATGTTCTTGCCATAGGTACAGGCACTGTAAAGAAACAACAAAGAACAACATAAGACTTTGTTTTGGGATTGAATTATGTCCTCCCTAAATTCATATGGTGAAGTCCTACTTGCTAGATCCTCAGAATGTGAGCACATGTAGGCATAGTGTCCATGAAACAGATAACTATGCTAAAATAGAGTCATTAGGGCATGCTTAATCCAGTGTAACTACTGCCATTATAAGAAAAGATTAGAAAACAGTATGTGAAGACACAGTGAGAAGTTGGCCAACCTCAATCCAAGGAAAAAGGTGTCAGAAGAAGCCCATCTTTAAATACATCAATATTAGACTTCAAACTTCCACAATTTTGAGAAAATAAATTTGTGGTTTTGTTAGGTAAAATCAGCCTATAGTATTCTGTTATAGTTGCCTTAAAAAACAAACACAGCCCTGATTAACACATGTTGTTCCAGATGTCAAATGTATACAAGAGTACCAAGGAGACAAAAAAAAAAAAAAAAGGAAGGATGCAGTGATGAAACAACTGAACACTGCTTCACTCCCAAATGGCAGCAACAACAAAGTCTGGGCAATCCTGAAATAAGGAGCCAGGACCTGTATCCTGATCTTTCACATTGGGGGTAGCATCCCAAATACTTGGCCATCGTCTTCCTTCCCAGGTAGATGAGTGGTATGCTGTGTCACATAGAGCATCCTATACTCACACTGGCATTCCAGTAAGGGATGCAGTATAGCAAGTGGTGGCTTGTCTTGCTGTGTCACAATGCCAGGCACTCCATGAACTTTTGGAAGACTCTGTATTTTAGCATCCAAGAGAAGTAAGTTTTTTACAGGAAAATTTACAACTTGACTTATTGCAGTACTTAACTGAAATTCTGATGCAAATGTTTACAGAAAAAGCTAACACGCATAGAGCTAGTTGTAGAAAGATATGGTATCTATAATATGAGATCTCAATTTCTGACAATTGATTCTCTTCTTGTTATCATTTTCAGCAACAATACTGTGCTTTGAAATCTCAGAGAGCTATCGTCACGGAATCTATCAACGGGCAAAGCCCCATACACATTATTAGTTAAGGAACATAGATATTTGGTTATTGAAGACAAGAAAGTTTGGTGGATCTTATTTTCTCTCCCTCACAGGGTCTTGCCCAAGTTATTTTCTCTAGTGAGATGCCATTCATCTTTCATCTACTGAAATGCTGTTTGCTGTATAAAGCATTCTTGTGAACCAAAGGCAGATTACACTGATGTCTCATATGCTCCCTTGTCACGTCAGTTTTAAGGCACTCATTGCCTTATGTTCCAGTGGTAGACACATTTCTGCTTATCTTCATACCTTACAATGCAGCTCCTTTAAGGACAGGAAGAGTCCTGGCACCTAAATGTCTGTCTAGCTACAACACAAGGAAGGTTCTTAGTAATTGTTTCTTGAATAATTGAATGCATCAGAGGCCACTGTATCCTTGCAATATGTCATATCACCATTAAAGTATTTGCATTATAAACAGGACACATAAAACTACAGTTAATATTTCATGGTCAAAATTGCCTCACTGATTCTTTTCCAAGCAACTATTTACTGGAAATAGAGTTATGAATATGAAGAAATATATATATATATATGTATGTATAGTTGAAAGGTAATACTTCAAAGGGAGAAGCCTCATCCATCAATCCATAAGTCACTAAAATTGAAATAGATATTTGAAGATTGTACATATTTATGGGATGCTATGTGATGACTCCTTAAGTGTATGCATTTTGTGGTATCCAATGAGGTTAAATTTATTTATACTCTCAAATATTTTATTTTTAGTTATAATAAGAGCATCAGAATTTATCTTAGATTTTTAGGAGAAATATTCAGAAAATGAATCTAATCCATCATAACCTCAAAGTTAACAGAGCCCAAAACTTAGTCCTGTTTGTCTCTACATTTGTATCTGTCAATCAGTATTTCCTAATATTTCCCATCCCACTTCCACCTCTAGCCTATGATAACCACAATTATAGTTTCAATATCTACAAGATGACATTTTAAAGTATTGATAATATTTTAAAATATAAAAATATTACACATATTACCGGGCTCATGTGATTCTTGTCCTCCAGCGCTTGTCTCGTTTCACTTAACATAATAACCATCATGATCCATTCATATCTTGTAAGATTTTTTTCACCTCTTTAATTAAATTGATTACTGAAACTGGGATTACTTTTTTATGCATTTTTGATGCATTGTAATGTGGTCAGAAAACATGCTTGATATGAATTCTGGTTTTTTGATTTTGTTGAGACTTGTTTTGGACCCACCACATGATCCATAGAATAGTCTATGTGCTACTGAGACAAGTGTGTGCTCTGCATCTTTTGAAAGGAAGGATCTGTAAATGTTATTAGGTCAACTGATCTACAGTGCAGTTTACTTTTGCTGTTTCCTTCCTAATTTTCTGCCTAATGATCTGTACACCTCTGAAAATAGAGAGTTAAAGACCATTCCTATTATTTTATTAAAGTCTATCTCTCCTTTTAGATACAGTAATATTTTCCTTGTGTATTTGGTGTTCCAACATGTAGTTGTTATTTTTCTTGCTGCATTAAACTTCTTATTTTTACTATTTCTTAATTTATTTTTATTATTAAATTTTATAGATAAAAATATTTTTAGCTGATAAAAGTATTGCTATTTTTCTACCATTTTAATTTTAGTCATTCTGTGTTGTTAGAAATGAAATTTTCTTGTAAGTGACTTAGATTTGGGTGCTGCTTGTTAATTTATTTGGTTACTCTGTTTTTCAATTTTTAATCTAATCCACAGACATGTAATGTAATCATTGATAGTGTTCCTCTCCTTTCCTCTCCTCCCCTCTCCTTTCCTTCCCTCTCTTCCTTCCTTGCTTCCTTCTTTTCTCTCTCCTTTCCTTCTTTCTCTCTCTTTCTTCCTTTCTCTCAAGAGAAAAACAATAGAATAGGAGAAAAATTTAGAAATTATGCAACCAATAGAGGATTAATAAACAGAATATATAAAGACCTCAAGAAACTCAACAATCAAAGAATCTAATCAAGAAATGTGCAAAAGGCATGAACATGTAGTTTTTAAAGATTTACATACAAGTGGCAAATAGATACATGAAAACAAAAATACCTAGGATCACTAACCACCAGGAAAATACACAAAGACATCATAATGAAGTATTATTTTGCCCCAGATTGAATGGCTATCACCCAAACATCAAACAAACAATAAATGCTGGTGAGACCATGAGGAAAAGGGCACCCTAGTTCACTATGAGTTTGAATAAAAACTATAGCCATTATGGAGGCTGGTATGTTGATTCCTCACATATTTGAAAATTGATCTGCCACTTGACACAGTGATCCCATACTTGGGAATTTACATAAGTGAAATGAAATCTGTATATGTATACCAATGTTCATTACAGCTCAATTCACAATAATTAAAGTAATAAATGAAGCCAGACATTCAGCAACAGATGGCTGGATAAAAAAATTGTAACATACACAGCATGGAATACTATTGAGCCATAAACAACAATGAAACCTGTGTTTCACAGCAAAATGGAAGTAAGTACAAACCATTATACATAATGAAATCAGCCAATAACAAAAAATAAATAGCTTATGTTTTCTTTGATCTGCGGTATGTAATACATAGAGCTAAAAAAAAAAATGTGATTTATATAGCCGAGATCGACATTTTGAAATCCAATTGTTTTACGGTTGTAGTCTATATTCTTCAGATACACAGATTATTTTGACTTGCTAGCAATTCCATACCTGTTGGAGTGTTCAACCTGTGCTTGCTAAGCAAACTTAAAGCATGCAATTTAAAAACAACAACAGCCAACCAAACAACCAAACAAAACCAAGACGAAATAAGGAAGGAAGAGAATGTATGTGAAGTTCAGGAATAAGGGAGGGCGGGGTGGGAAGGACCATTGTACCCAAAATATGTATTGAGAAATTTGTCAAATGTGTTCACTACATATGTGAGTATGTATAATAAATTAAAATTAAAAACAAGTGGTAGGGCCTGGTGCCATGGCCTAGCGGCTAAAGTCCTCGCCTTGAATGTGCCGGGATCCCATATGTGCACCGGTTCTAATCCCGGCAGCTCCACTTCCCATCCAGCTCTATCATCCAGCTCCCTGCCTGTGGCCTGGGAAAGCAGTCGAGGACGGCCCAAAGCTCTGGGACCCTGCACCCGCGTGGGAGACCCGGAAGAGGCTCCTGGTCATGGCTTTGGATCGGCGCAGCATTGGTCTTTGTGGCCACTTGGGGAGTGAATCATCGGACAGAAGATCTTCCTCTCTGTCTCTCCTCCTCTCTGTATATCTGACTTTGTAATAAAAAATAAATAAATCTTAAAAAAAAAAACAAAAACAAGTGCTAATAAGGCATTCCATATTTATGCTTCTTTGCCACCATATGTTTAATTTTTGATGTTGCATTTTTGTCTTTGCCTATTGTATACATTTCGTGTAAGATTATAATTTTGGTTGTCTTCATAGTAAAGATATAAATGATTTACACAATCTGCTTTAAATGTTGGAGCTTTCTGGGTTTGTTGTTATCTCTTGTCTTCCTGGTAACTTTCTACTTAAAAATATTTTATTGCCATCAGTAAGCAATTTTTTTGAAGTTTGAAGAAATCCATTTAACAAATTTTGTAGCACAGATCCCGTGGTCACAAATTCCCTCAGACTTGGACTGGGATCCATGAACGGCATGCTTTATTGTTGGCTGGAAATGTTTACACCTCTAGTCTCATATTACTCATTTCAGGTCTCTAACATTTTACTGAGTTAGACAGATTAGGAACCTGTTATGAGTTATTTGCTCTTTTCTCTTACAGTTTGCAAAATCTCTATTGGTATTAATCTTGGTAAATTTGATTATAATAGGCAATGGGTAAATATATTTGGGTTGAGTCAGGTGACGATTTTGTTACCGAAACCTGTATAGTTATTTCTTTCAGTTTAGTGAGTTTTCTCTCATACCTTTGAATGTGCGTTTTACTCTTTGGTGTTATTAAGCCCTTTTTGAATCCCAGTAACTCAAACATTACTTCTTTTTATGCTATACCATATTCTCCTACGCCATATGCTTTCATATTACTCTTTGATATTTTTCTTTTTTTTTCTTTACCATTATGTATTTTCAAACAAACTGCTTTTGAGTGCAGTAATACTTTCTTCTAGTATGTTCTAATATTCATGTCTTCCATTAAGTTTTAATTTCACATAGTACATTTCTCAATTGAAGGCTTGAGAATTTCTCAATTTTGGTTGATTTTTTAAAAATCATTTCCATCATTATGTCAAATCTCTCTGTTAAAGTATTGCACTGATTTTTCTTTGTGCTCTAAGGATTTTGTTGCGTTTTCTTAAGACAGCTATTTTGAAATTTTCATCTGAGCATTTGGAAATTTCATTTCCTCCCTGATGGATTTCTGGCTCCTTATTTTGCTATTTTGTTACATGCTGGTTCCTTGGAAGTTCATGGTGTTTTTTTGAAGTGCAATGTCATCTGCACATTAAAGAGTAGTCTGTAACGTGATTTCTTTCTTTGGCTATCCTGATAAGAACTCTAATAGATTGCTCTTGTTGTGGGATAGAGTTTAAGATGGCTCAACATGGACCACAGAAACCCACCCGGCACTGAAGCAGATTCAAACGCTTTGTTTAAAGGCACTGGCCTGAGGACAAGGAGCATACAAATCTACTAATTTTTTTTCCAGCCTAGCACTGAGTTCCAAATCATTTTTGGGATTCCTTGATGTCCATCCAATGTCATAGCATATGAGATATAAAATACCTCATTGGTCAAGTAGGCCCTAGGGTGGGTGTCACCTGGGCATCACGGTCATCATATATAAATATGTGCTTAAATTATTAGAATAAAATATTTCTCTATTGCTTCTGGTAGTAATACGTTTACATGATCTAAAACAAATGAGCCCATGGTTTCAATTTACTGCATCAATCCTCTCTTACAGACAACTTTTGGAGGTGGTAATCAATCTTCAGTGATAGCTAGTTCTAATTTATCTACTTGTGGTAATAAAATCATTTGAAAACTCATCTGATGTATGTATTTAAATAGGCATGATATAACGGAGAAAGATAACACCAGCAACACATACATGTCTGTTCTGCCAGTTTTCCCCTTCATGGGGCAGAATGCACTGATTCATTCTGATTAGGTATGATCTGAAGACTTCTTGCATGTATTCTGTTACTGAGTGTGTAGAAATCAGGCAAAAGATTTTGATAGTAGAACATGAAGAGATGGAGAAACTAGATAAAAAATTAGGAAGGCTTTTACCACATTATTCTGTAACTAACAGAAACTGGCAATGTTCTTAGCTTCCATAAACCTCAATTTTCTCATCTGTAGAAGAGAAATAATAAATTCAACTTTGTAATATCATTGTAAGGATTAAATGAGAAAATGGATGCTAGTCACCCAACACATGGTGACTACTCCATATACAGTAGTTTTTGAATAACATATCTCTTGGCTTACTTCTTTCAATAACAAGAAAAATCTGGAAATTCATGTGGAATTTGTTAGAGTTATATCTCATGCAGAAGTACAAATGTAATGTTCATGTAACAAATACAGGTGCACATAAGTACAGATATAATGTACATATAAGACAAGTTGGCCCCTTGTCTTTGCCATTTATCAGTGGAATACAGATATTACATAAAAGCAGATTAGCTTTGTGTCTGTTATTAGTTTTAATATCTGTTTATAGGTGGTAGATTAGTTAAGAAGTATGTAATGTGTAGGTAAATGTACATTGATGATTCATTATGTTCAAATCACTATGTTTTATTTCATAGCCAAATAGTTACCCATTAAAATAAGAGCCTTGAGTTTTATAAAATATCTGCCTTCTTTTTGGACATTATAGGACTATAACTTTAAATTATTAACAACTTTTTCTTTTTAAAAATGATTGTGAAATTTCCAAACTCAGCTTCCCTTCAGCACACTTTCTTGAACATGCTGTAAAGGGCTCTCATGTATTCCTAGAAAAAGCTAATGCCTTCTTAGGTATCGCAGTGGCCATCCTGAGTGGGCTTTTACAGGCTGACAGATGGATGTCTCAGATAGGTAGACACATTTGCACATAAGGTTTAAGTGGTAAGAAAAAAAAAGTGTCACATTTGATGCTGACGAATTCTGGTAATGAGATTCTAGAAGGAAGAGGATTACAGGCACAGCCCTTTTTGGCAGCTTTCCGCAGAGCGAAAAGGGATAGAAGCAATATGCTTACAGATGTTGATATGCCTGTTGCCTTGGCAACAGCAGCCCCTGTCTTTGTGGCTGCTGGCAGGAACACAGCATCTGGCTGCAGCCCCATCTGTTGTACTGACTGCAGCATCTGCCTCCACCTCTTTCTCTGTACATCTAGCTGGAGCTCTGTGTCCTCTGTTCTGCCTCTGCTATCGTTCTATGATTGCAACATCTGCCACTATTTGTTCTTGCTTTATGTACACAACTTCAGGTGTGGTAGGGTGTCAGCTCAGTTTGGTAGCTATTGTACTGAAATATTCATTTACCTGTGAAAAGCTGTTTCACTGAAGATATTTTCCTTAGTCAGACTTTCTGTTCCTGATATATGAATGATTTCTTTAGCAACATCAAACTTGCCATTGTAGCATGCCCTATATTTGGAGAAAATATGTTGTTAAAGTTAAAGGATACACATAATATACTTGTAGAACCTTCTGAATGCTGCATAATACTCACAGATGCAAAGGGGTGTCTCCATAAATATTAACAACATGGGGTTGAACTGCTAAGTCACTTTGGAGTAGGTACTTCACTATATCTTGGTGTCCAAAGCGAGAGCAGAAATGGAGTGGGACATGGTCTTCATTATCCTGAGCATTCACTGTCATCAAAAAGAAGCAAAAAGGTATATTATCTGGAGCCCCCTATTGTCAGCATCCGTATATGTAGTGCCATGGACTATTCTAAGCGCCTGAGAGATTCTTGGAATTACCAATTAATGATAATCATAAAGCAAATTAAGTGCAACCAATTAAAAATGTTATAATTCTATTCTATTGCTTCTTACCACATTAAACAGGCTTTCTTCTAGCTCCCATAAATTCTATGGAACACATCTAATCAAATCTACCTTACATAATGGAATAGTTCAGAAAACTCATAAGCATCTAAAATGAACTTTTGCCCCTTTTTTTTTACAAGAAATTCTCATTTAGAAATTTTTCTCCCTCAAGGGTGTGAACAATTGTAGATCATGGTTAAAGCATCTTTCGCAGATATACTTGTTCAGTAGGCTACAATACGACCTGTTTAGGATGTTCTAATACATACTCTTAGCTGTATATTGTCATAAAAGAATCTAAAAAGCAAGGAAAACCAAAAGTGCTTTAGGGTGACACAGACCTTGTTAATTGCATTAGTTCAGACAGATCATTTAAAATCCATTTGTTCACTGAGTAGCAGCACTTGTCATTTTCTTCAGAGCACCCATCCTTAAAATCTCTTATGATATTTGGCAGTTTCCCAGGATGCAATTACCAACGACAAACCAACATCATGTTCAATCAAATTGGCTGAGATTGTAGTTTATGAGATTCTAGGTCACAGGAAAAGTAAAGGGCAACTACATATTTTCATTTCGACTTGTTATGAGATAATTATTTGTAATGATTTATTTATTTTTATTGGAAAGGCAGATAATATTAACTGATAGAAGGATAGACAGAGAGAAAGATCCTCCATCAGCAGGTTTACTCCCCAAATGGCCACAACAGCCAGAGCCAAACTGATCTGAAACCAAGAGCCAAGAGCTTCTACTGGCTCTCCCATTTGGGTGCAGGGTACCAGGCCTTTGGGACATCACTTACTTCTTTCTCAGGTCCAAAGCAGGAAGCTGGATGGGAAATGGAGCAGCCTGGACATGAACTGGCACCCACATGGGATCCCAGTGCTTACAAGGTGAGGATCTAGCCATTGAGCTACCATACTGTGCCCAATATAATTCTTTAGCCTTTACTTATTTACTTGAAAGGTATATTTAGAGAGAGAGAGACATAGAGAGATCTTCCGTCTACTGGTTTGCTACCCAGGACTGACCCAAATCAAAGCCTTGAGCCAGAGTCTAATAGCTTCTTTCACATGTCCCATATTGATGGTAACGACCCCAGTATTTGGGCCTTCTGTTTCTTCTTTTTCCAGGCTTCTAACAGGAGTTGAATTAGAAGTGGGGCAGCTGGAATTTGAACTGATACCCATAAGGGATGCCAGTTTCACAGGCAGACACTTAACCCACGATCTCAGCTCTTTGAGAAAACTCTTAATGGTGGCATTTTTATTTGTAATATTAGCCTATTTTGGACACCTATCTCTAGACTCGTCCCTTCAATACACATTTGATTGATTCTGTGCTGATTATACAAAATGCAGGGCCTAATCTCTCCTGTCAGTGCGACAACATTTCCATATAATTTGCATGGTTCCACTTTCAGTCACGGATTCCACATCTGCATTGTTGGTGCTTAGAAGCAAAGTGTTGATGTGTGTCCACCAGGGAAGACAGAGCTTGTTCACAAGGCAAGGATGGGACATGAATTTTGATGTTGTTCTTCATTATGAATATCCTTAACCTGGTTTTCTACTCTGTTCTGAGGAAGATTTGGAATGGCTACTTAATTCCTTCAATATATTCCTTTTGTGCTTACATTAGAATGAGTTAGTTTCCAAAACCTGAAAGTACGAAAATTGGACTCATACATCATAACGCCTTACCAAGAATTAAATAATTGCTACGTACTAATCACTTTATGAGATATTAAAATCAATATCATATTGCTAACAATCGCTGCAGCAACACTACTGTTGCAAGCAAGCTGACAGCATTAAGGGAATTATGATGGAAAGCATCTAGCATCATGCTGGTCACTGTATCTATTTACTAAACTTGATCTTAGAGATTTACTAAGTGCCAACTAAGACAATCTGTAAACGCATAGTGTCCATACTCTCAAACCACTTACATTTTAAATGAATAGTTAGTGCAGCTCCGGAAAAATAATAACTGAACATCAAATTTTTAAGTTCTATGCCTCATTTTAATTTAAAACTAAAATACTTAGCCATTGGCTTCATTATTTTGTCTAGCTTATACAAGTTTATTTATTATTTGATTACTTTGTAGACACAATGGAACTGAATGAAAATAAAATTTTGAAAAATGAACAGGAAGGAAAATTGAGATAATAATAGTGATATGCAAGCATGTGCATGTCTGTGGCATCATCATATAGCAATTAATAGACAATAACTTGAGCCTTGTAGATGCTGACTTGTGACAGCTATTCTCATTTTATTGCCCTGCAAGATCCTCAGACAAAGAGAAATCTTTAATGAAGCTGCAGAGCATCTCTTCCTGAGGCTGTTATTGAAAAAGAAATCTTTGATTTTTTTTTTATTAATGAGTAGCTGAGAAAGATCCCTATTGAATAATGTGCCTAGTTCTTTTGATTCACTTCCATTTTATGATACATTTCCTTTGTTCAGGTTCTGTTTGAAGCCAGAGAAAGCGGATGCTGTATCAAGGCTTGGGGAGGGTTGGGAGTGCAGGGCGTTGGTGGAGGAGGGGTGGCATAAAAAATTCTTGTGGTCCAAAATGGGACTGGCAAAGCAGCCTGCAGTGAAATCTTCCACTCATTTATAACTTAACTCTGGCTATCCTCAGACTTACCTAATATTATCCTCCAACAACTGAAGCAATAAACTACAGAGTAGATTATTTGTGAATTACCTGCAGTGGCTTAGACATTCTTGTCATTAAAAAAATATGTAAATACTAACTAAAGGATCAAGCCAAAAGAAACATGAGGTCATACAGAGATTATGTCTATATCTGCACTTCTACTGCAGTCATTGTGTTCTATTTTTTTTAATTGTATAGAAATTTAAAATTTTTTTTTGTTTTCTTCCATTACATTCTTTTTTTTTTTTTTTTTGGCAAGACAGTTAGTTCCATATTGTTTCCTTAATATATCTGATGTAAAAAGGGATTTTAAGGAAGAAGCCCCACCTAACCTGCCACCCATCCCGGGTCCACCTCAGCTATATGTTGGCAATGAAAATGAGGGGAAAACAGAGACTCTATGATAAACTATGTCAATCAGTGGATTCTCCAATGACCTCATCGTGCTTGGAGTGGTGAGACTGGCAGCAATCCAGAACTGTTGAACTATCAAAACCACTTAAGCAAGACCCTCGGAGCATGTCCCATTGTGTTCTACTTTATATTATCCTGGATCAATTTGCAAGGACAAAAAAGCATGTATTCCTTTATCTCAGAGATATTGAATGTATGTATGATATTCTGTTTAATCTACCAGTGTTTTATTCAGCACTTTAATAAAAATAATTTCAAACAAGAAATACGCATACATCATTAGGACAACATTATTGCCTAGTCATCTACTCTATTGCCTAGTCATTGGCTTAGTATTTTGCAAGAACATTGAAAGAAAGTATTGAAAGAAGATTGTTTTGAAAGAAACATTATTGAATGGGTGAGGTAGTTTCTTATTTATTTCTAATTGCTATCTTAAAGATAATATAAAATTGCAATATAAGCCCATCAATATTAGTAGATCCCAGGAAATTTTTAATATAAATCCCAGTGTGTCTTAAATGAACACTAGATAACAAATCTGTGTAATATCTCTAATATGTTTGAAAAACTAACATTTTTTTTTCTTATCGGGCATGCCTTTGGATTTTTTGTGACTATAAAAAACACCCAGTATTTTTTTAAAGAATTGTGATATTTAACACAGTATTTGACATTCAGATGGCAAAAAAGTATAAATTCTAAATTCAGAAGTTTTTAAACTTGTAATCAAGTATATCAAAGTGATTATATTTGAGGACTATAACACTGTTTTTTCTTATGGCATTCAACAGTATGTTGATCTTTTACAGCTCATTCAGTAGACATTATGCTTCTCCCTTTTCATGACCCTAAGGCATAGGCAGAAGCAGACCAGACATTTAAAACACAACTGACTGAATAGGTCAGCCTCCCAACACTATGATTGGAGAGGCTGCTTTCAGAACCACATCTTGTCTGATTTAGTAGCCTAAACTTATTCTCACTTTTGATATTGTGCTACTATGAAAGCACATTGTAAATGCTGAATTTTGAATTATATTCCTTTTGTGGTCATTCATTTGATCATCATGTTATATGCACATGTGATACACAAATTGTAGATCTGGGAAACATTTTTGAGGCTCACCTAACTTTTGGAATAAGTGAACTAGCTAAGGGTAGGTCCTGCAGCATGTCCAATGGTAACGCAGATCTTCCAGCTTGCCTATTTGCTGCAAATGATTATTGTGTACAGGAGACCTAAACATCAAGTGTGTGCTAGAAATAAATAAAACCGTTCAACTGTCTAACTCATGGTGATTTTGACCTTAAAAAAGTGATTTAAAACATATTTAGTACTTTTGTAACTCAGAAGTAAAATGTTTAAAATTATGTTACAAGAAGCTGTTGTGTAAAGGAATATGGTTGCAGTACACATTTCAATGCCTTTTACACAGGAACGCTTTGATCCCGGAGACCTGATGATCATAAATGACACTCTTTTTGACACTACTGAGTTTTGGAGTTGTGCAGAATGAAAACCTGAGGTTGGCATGGATAATAAAGGAGAAAAGTGATGCAGCTCCTGACCCCTCAGAAGACAGAGGCGGTTTCAAAAACACAATTAGATATTCAGTGGTTCACACATGTGTATCTTGCCTAGTCTAGGTCTAGGGAACCAACATCCCTTTTCTCCCGGCATCACCAGAAGTTTATAATTACACTACAGAGTAGATGCCCAAGTCATTTCCCACTGGCTTAGAGAAAACAATGTAAATCATGCATATCAAGTTTTACAAAATAAAGTGGTCCCCATTCCCAACATAGAAAGTGGAAGCTTTCTAACTTCTTGAGTCAGTTTTGCCGAGAAGCCTGTGTGTTTTAATAGTAGAAGAAAACATTGATTAGGTTTATTAACTGGACAGCAATCTAAATCTGGGGCCAAGGAGCTGGCAGTTCACAGGGTTTGACAACCCTGTCCTTTCAGAAATGTGTATCTGTCCTGCCACAAAGGCCAGTAGCTCTCACAGCTGGGCTTTTAATTAGGTCTCTAGGGGGTCAATGGAAGAATGTTGGATATGCCTGAGAGAATTTAATGGCAAGATGTAACTCTGAGTGAATTTGTGTCAAAAAAAAAGCTTGCGAGGAAGAGTGAAAGAAAGGTAAAAATTTTAATAAATACCTTTAATCAACGTTTGAAAATTCATTTTATAATTTAGAAACTAAATTGAAGAAAAATTCTATTATACTTTGAGCTGAGAATATCCATGTATTTTGTAGATTTTTCTTCAAACCTTATTAAAATTTTAGTAATATCTGCTAGTGAAACATTAGACAGTAAAGTGTTCATTAGGAGGGGACTTAATGCACAAATGTGCTAGGATGATACTTAAATGTTTATGGAAAATAATATCACAAGATGTTTATTTAGCAGAAAAAAATAAATTCCATGCACACTAGGAGTCTTCTAAGGAATAATGAAATATGCATTTTTTTTAAAAAAAAATCTATGCATTAATTTAAAATAATTTTTGCTCCAAAGTAAATTTTCCTCTTATTCCATTCCTGAAACATTTTGGAGTATCCCCATATATTCATACAGTCTTAATTAATATAAAATAACAAACTATGATTCAGCCACAATTTGGACAAATGTTCACATTATCTTGTTGAGTAAATAAAGGCAGTCACAAAGTTATCTGAAGATCAGGAACAGACAAAAGTAATCTATGCCAACAGAAGCCAGGGTGTTGTCACTGCGGGGAAGCCTATGTTTTGAGACAGAAGCACAAGGGAACAATCCAGATTTGGGTAGGAGTTTCCACATAAATAGATATTCATCAAGTGGTCATTTGGTATTTAAGTACCTGTTACTTGCAAATTATACTTGAAAAAGAATGCTGAATCACAGCAAATTAGCTCAGTCTGTATAGAGACACTAGTTTCTCTGGGATACTTAATTTTACAAGATTTGACAAAAGCGTGAAATGGGAGAAAATAAAGATTTAATAACCATATTATAGGTAATAAATTAGGACTTCTGGGACAAATTAGGGCACTATACATGATCAGATAACTTTAACATTGCTATCCAGTAAGTGAGGGAATACAAGTAAAATGTATGTGACAAATAAGTGATAACAAAGGTCTTTAAACATATAATCTTACCATCTGCCTTGCTGCCCTCCTCCATCAAGAGCTTTGCAATACTGAAGAATCCTTTGGCAGATGCTAGGTGGAGAGGCCTGTCTCCCACTTCACCGCTTACATTTACATCAGCGCCAAATTTCAAAAGTAGACGGGTAATCTGAAGAAAGCATTCGTTTGAAATTAATATCAGGTCAGTATCCGAAAGTCAAATAATATAAAGTTTCTAGTGGTATAGACAAATGCACATCATTAAGGCCTCCTTGGTAAGTTTTCACCCAAAAGAACAGAAAATAATGAGACAGTTGGTTTAAAAAGTAGGAAAATATTACATTCTGTAATAAGAAACTCTAAACTAGAGTAACTCCAGGGTTGATAATATTTATAGAAATCCGTTATTCTCTTCTTCCACGCTCAATAAATAGGTTGAATCTCCTTAAGACAATAAGACAGCTGTAGTCCTTCTAGGAATCCCAAAGCCAGGCATAGAAGTTAGAGTCAAGAGGTACCTCTACTTTTAGGCCTGATGCTTCTGATGTGTGTGAGTGAGTGAGTGTGTGTGTGTGTGTTTTGCTTTGGTTGTAAGAACTCTTTCCCAGAAACTCTCCTCCCATAATCCCTTAGTTTGGACACAGGCTGCTGGCAACTTTGTAAATCAATTCCTGCATAAGAAAAGATTTATTGTGAGTGAGTGTCATTAATTAAGATCTAAAACACACTATATAGAGACTGGAGCGAGGGACAGCTTCTGTATTTGCAATCTCTGGTAGCAAGCTGAAAGGTGAAAAAAATAAGTCATAGATCTGCAAGCAGGGAAAACTGAAACACCAAGCGGCAACAATTAAAATGACAGTTTTCCCAATCAACAGTGCCTATTAATGATCACGTAATAAGAAATGAGTGTTGTAGGTTAAGAGGCAATATAATACCGTGATTAAGAATCCAGGTACAGGGAAAGGCCTAGGGTTTCACCTCAACTTTCATTCATATTAGGAGTGTAACTTTGGGAATATTAGTTAGCTAATTTGAATCTAAATTTCTTTATATAAAATGGGAATACTTATAAGGTTTAATTCACAGTTTGTTGTACTAGATGAGGTAATTTAGTTAAACATGCATAGCACAATGACTAACATTTAGTATCTGAGACTATTTTGAAAAGTTAATGGGAAATGAAATTAAAGATGAATTTATTTTGGTACAGCTTTCTCAACATGCATGCATAGATTTTCATAGTAGGAATTCATAATTCATAACAGGAATTCGTAATTCATAATATGCATGAACTTTTTGAGGACCTCTTTTACGCATGGATTTGAAAAATCTTCCTGTGTCCCATAGATGAAATTTCTAATAGATATTAGTGAATTGTGAAAAGATGTTTACCAATCCTGCTTCAGCTTTATGGTGCAGTACAGTAATGTATGAGTTGTTTGGGACAAAAACAAACAAACTTGAATTATGTAATTTGGTTTTTTTTTTTTATTTATTTTATTTTTTATCGGAAAGACAGATATCTAGAGAGAAGGAGAGAGAGGAACATCTTCCATCTGATGGTTCATTCCCCAAGCGGTTGCAATGGCTGGAGCTGAGCCAATCCGAAGCCAGGAGGCAGGAGCCTCTTCCGGGTCTCCCACGTGGGTGCAGGTTCCCAAGGCTTTGGGCGGTCCTGGACTACTTTCCCAGGCCACAGGCAGGGAGCTGGTTATTACTTCATATGCAAAGTAGTAGATACAGATGCTGTGATGAAGCACTTAAGAATTTGCCTGGGATTGTGTTTATGGATTCCTTAAAACTGTTCACATTTATACTTCAGAACTTCACAAATAGTTTCTGGAAACTCGACTTGGTCTCCCTGAGAATTTTTAACAAGTCACTTGGTGATCCAAAGTGGTAAGCTAGGATGCCTCTGTTTTATGAACATTACTAGGAAGTTCTTTTCAACTGTTTTGGTCTTTGAGATTTTAGCAGAAAGGTGCATTCAAGAGACAAGCATTTGGCACAGCAGAGAAGGCGTCGTGGGACATGGCCATTCTATTGAACTGCCTCATTGTTCTGCTTCCAATTCGTCCTACTTACTAGTTTGTGTCCTGGAAAACCACAGATGCTGGTAAATACTTGTGTCCATCATTCTTGACTTCTCATTTATTGTCTTGGCTGTAGAGGGCCTTTGGGAATAAGCCTGCAGGTAGAAGACCTTCCTCTGTTAAACTGTGTTTGTTTCTCTGCGTTTTGAAATAATTTAATGTGAACTCAAATTCTAGTTTTCTCCTTCCTTGGCAGGAAACAAACATGTCTTAAATAGAACTTTTCAAGAATCTGGGAGAAGGATGCTTGAAAGAAAGGAAGACATTTGGCAGAAATTCTAGACAATATATTGACCAGTTGTATCTGTGGAAAATTGCTTCCTGTTAATTATAATAGGTATAATCAAGAATCCTGGAATCTGGATTGCTACTTATTATCTATGGAATCCTTAAAAATCAACATCTTAATATTTCACTGTCTTCTTCATCTAAATGTGAATAAGAAGAGTAAATCCAGAGTTGCTGTGAGGATTTACCAAGTGATCATGTGTAGAACAAAACAGTGTCTAGCACTCAACAACTATTATTAAAGGAATATCATTGTATTCCTTTGTTACCTAATGGGTACATCAAGATTTAATTCAGAGAAAATCAAATCAGAGAAATTTAATCTCAAGAACCTTGTGTTCTCAAGAGCAGATGTTTTCACTAATATAAACTCCATAAATTTTGATTATGTGAATTTATAATGGGCAGATTTAAACTATCTCCAAAATCAATTCTGTATTAAGCATTATTATTACATACCTAGGAAATATTACTCTTAGTACAAAACATCCATTCGTCAATTTTAAAATAAATAAATAAGCAAATGGCTAGGAACACGGCACATTAGGCACATTTATATATTAAATGTACCATTCTCGTTGTCAGCATTTTAGCAAATGACAATAGCCTCCACAAATTACTGATGTGCTGCCTTCAGAAACAGAAAGTGAGTCCCTTATCATAAAAGGGCCATCCACATTTTAGCATAATTTCATAAGACTGTTACAATATTTCCAGGGAAAGTAAACAAATTTAGCTCTCCACCCAACATGCACAGCAGCTCTTTATCTTTCTGCTGGGCTAAGAGGTTAATCACCAAAAAAAGATGACTCAACAAATAATATACATTATATATTTTCTGTGGGAGCCTGAAGTTAGAAAAGTGTGGCCTTTTTCTTTCATGTCAGCTGTTGCAGCCTGTACTTGTAAAAGCATTTTCAGTGCCCAGCACAGGGAAATGAGCAATCTTCCCAAACGAGAGGTCATGGTACATAGGCCTGAGAGTGACAAACCTATGCTGACTATCAGAGAAGTAAAGGCACAGTAAGTAACTACAGCCACACAAGGACACAAATAACTGCAAATTTCAACTTCAGGCTCCTTAGTTGGTGCTGTGGCATGATCTCCAGGAAGACAGAAAGATTAATATTTCACAACTGAGCAAGCTATAGAGATAAAATGAAAAAGAATCAAATGGAAGTGTCCCAAGATTTGTTGTATCTGGTTATTCAATCCTATTTGTATTTCTGGTTATTTTTCATTTTCCTTGAGAATAACTACAGGGCATGCTTTAAATTAGTCCACAGAGATTTTGTCTTTTGATGTGCCAAGGACAGGAATCAATGAACTTTGGAATTAGAACAAAATGTCTTAAATTTCTGATTCACTGTTTTGACAAATTGCCTGTACTTCAGTATTTGTATTGCTGATTGGAAAGGAACATGAAGGGTAATGTTGTACAACAGAAGAAACTTGTGATTTGAGAGCAGACACACCTGAGACAGATCTCAGCTATCCTCCTCACAAGTTGCATGACTCTGTCATGCTCCCTGACCTCACAGCAGCTTGCCTATCCCTGATTAAGAAGGGCAAATTAAAACCAACATCAGAAACGGGGCAAAATTACAAACAAAACAAAACTGTACATCTTAACATATTGCCTATGTCATTATCTGACCCAATATATATGTGCTATGAAGATCAAACAGCAATTAACTGAAAAAAAAGTGTGTTAAAAACTTTACAGTGGGGCAGCACTCCTTACAGAAGTATCAGATCAAGTCTTGGCTGTTCTGCCTCTGATCTAGTTCTCTGTGTGACTGAAAAGGCAGGAGATGAATTCCCAGGTGCTTGAGCCCTTCGCCCCATAGCCTGTCCTAACCCCTGGCCAGTGTGCCACTTGGCGAATGAATAGCAGAACCAGGATTGCTCTCTCTGTCTCTGCCCTCTGAATAAATAAATAAATATATATATCTTTAAAAAAACTTTAAGACAATCTGAAAATACTACTTATTAGAGGACAAAATATGAAAAATATATACCTTTTATGTTAATTATGCAAAGCAAATGAGATTATTAAGATGCATGTAGTTATTGTCTAATTATTTAGGGTATTTTAAGTATTAGTCTACCACTGTTATTGTAGCAACATAATTGCACTGGCTTGAAATAATACAAATCTATTGTATTACAGTTCTAAAGGTCAGAAATGAACAGTTTGGAAGCATATGCTTCCTATCAAGCTTCCATGTCTGCTTTTCTGCTAATGTGGGCTGCCAGCATTCCTTAGCTTGAAGCCTCTTACTTGCATTCCTTCAACCTTTTGTTCTGTTGTCATATCTTCAGGTACTTGGTCTGACTTCCTTCTTCCTGCCCCCCACATGGTCATTGTTTACTACACCTATGAAGAATGCAATACAATCCCTTCATCTCAAGATCCTCAGCCTGATCACATCTGAAATCTCCTTTTAAGGTAATATTCACACATTTCTAAGTCTAGAAAGTGAACATATTAATGAGATATTTTATCAACCACAACATCCAATGACAGTTGAAAAGAGGAAGCTTTTCTGGAAGATACCTTTCCCCCCCCCCAGAAAACATTTTTAAGGATCTTTGTGATTTATTTTTATTGGCATTAGTATCTCAACAATGACATTTATTGCCAAAAGTGTATCATAAAAATGTGTAAGGTAGGTTCCATTAATATGTTTCCATTTTGTAGGTGAAGAAAGGAATATCAGAAGGCTTATTTAATGTATATGTATATATACCATATATATATATATGGTCATACAGAAACACTTTTCCAAATTCAAGAAGACTAATTTGTGTAATCACACACCATTATATGCCCCAGTATCCTTAGTGCACTGGGATAACCCATAAAATCAAATTAAGTGCTATCTGTAATGTTTATAAGGATCTCTACACTCCTCAAGATTAAACAGAGATAATGACAAAAATAATTTTTAAAAAATGATTTAAATTAAAATTATTTAATGATAAAGTGGTTTAACAAAATTCTGATACACTTAAGTGTGCTCCTGACCTTTGCAAACATTGCTGTCATTCCTACCTGCTCACGCCCATAGTATGCTGCAATGTGCAATGGAGTGAAGAACACTGCATCTTGGACATTGACATTAGCTCCTTGTTGCAGCAAGACGTCAGCAGCCTGAGTAAGAAAGGAATCTTAATTAGGTACTTCATTTAGAGCATCAGCCTGTCAAAATTCAACCGCAATGCGTAACTTTTGATCAGGATCTGTAACACGAAACACAACTTCTTCTATCTCTCTTGTCCAATTTTAATGTCTTGTTGCCTATAAAATAAAGATAAAACCCTATTGTGGGACATTTAGGATCTCAATCTGATAACATCATTTGAATGTATTTGTTATTCATTGCTTTCTTAAAATTCAGTTCTATAGTCAAACTTCAACCCAATTTTTGATCCTCTGATGTTTTGTTCACATTATTTCTTCAGCCAGGAATTCCCTTCTGCTCAATCTATTGGTGTTAAAAAAAAAAAAACAGCTAAAACCATATCTCATTCAAGAATTTGTTCCCTACTATTTGGCTGAAACTGATTCTTACCGCCCCCCCCCACTACTTAAATTTCATATAATTCTCACTCTTGTCATCTAGAAAAATTTTCTATTTATGTTGTATAATCCCTGCCAAAGAAGAAATTATTTAACAACGTACTGTATATCAGATTCATGTTTACAATCGTACCCAAGCCTGTTACTGTGCAAATACTAATTATTCAGTAAACATTTGTTGAGTAAATGAATGATTTAATGAGAAAATGGAAAACTAACAGGAACTATTGACCAACTGTTTTCATGGAAGTTATATATTGGCAACTGCGGAAGTGGAAAAATATATGTTTCTTCTATCGAGTTTTGGTTCCTCAGTGGGGGCACTGTAATTATACTGAGAAAAGACAAATTAACAAGAGAAAAATGAGCAAAACTTTATGAATATTTGTGTCACTTAAGCTTGTGGGGGCACTCTGCAATGAGTAAAACTTGAGTGGTGTTTAGAACCTAGTCTTTTCTTAGTAAATGGACACAAATTTTTGTAGAGAATTAGTAAGACAAAGAATAAGGGACTTTGAGGGATAGCACATTCAGAGAAGGTAAATTTATGTGGAAAAAAGAGAAGAAAAAAGTTCATATGTAAATTCACTTACGCTTTTTCTTAACTGATAAGGGGCTAGCGTTGTCTCTGAGGGCAATACGTCCCATCCTTTCTTATAGAAAAGAGGAAATTCACTTTTGTAAATGTTATGTAATTCACTTTTGTAATTACATAAATGTAATTGTTACATTTGTAATTACATAAAGGTAAATGTTATGTACTGATTTCACACAAATGAGGTGGAGTTACAAAGAGATTTTGTTTAATCATTTTCTTCTAAACTTCCCATGCCACAAAATGATCACTGTGCCATAGTGGTAAATTTCAAGGTGAAATGTTCTGGTATCTTTCACCTAAAGCCCATTGACCTGTTAGATGTCTCCTCCCAAAACATATTACTAAATATCACTCTCTTCTGAACAACATATTTGAGTATACTTGAGTTATTTACTTCACATGTATTCATTATTACTGTGGACTTTTTCTTTAAAAGGTGTATGTATGTATGTATGTACTTGAAAGAATTGGAGGGAATTCACACACACACACACACACACAGAAAGAGTGAGAGAAACAATCAACCAACTTCGGATTGACTTCACAGATAGCCACGGTGGCCAGAGTTGAGCTGGCCAAAGACAGAAGCCAGGAGTTTCATTCAGGTCTTCCAAGTGGTCCAGGTCCACTTTGCAGGGCATTAGTCAGGGGGTTGGATTGGGGGTGGAGCAGCCTGGGCTTGAACACCTGCCCATTTGGGTTTCTGGTGCTGTAAGTAGCCACTTTACCCACTACACTCCAAAACCGATCCCTATTGTGAGTTTTCCTATTCTACTATCTTGTCTTCAGTTGCTAAAAAATATACATTTGGAAAATGTTTCAAAAGTCAAAGAAAAGAGCAGGAAGGTGGCAAAGAGCTTGAGGGATGTATGTGCTATCACTTCTCTGTTCCTAGAAACAGGTTGCTGCTAGTTATTTTATTTTAGGTGTCTTTACTTGCTTAGAAGTAGAGAGTAACTGCCCTCCTGATGGCTGTGAAAAGCAGCAGAGAATTTTACCAGTCCTTCGGACCCTGCACCCATGTGGGAGACCCGGAAGAAACTCCTGGCTCCTGTATTCAATCAGTTCAACTCCAGCTATTGTGGCCCCTTGGGGAGTGAACAAGTGGACAGAGCATCTTTCTGTCTTTCTCTCTTTAAATGTGCCTTTCTAGCAAAAATAAGTAAATCTTTAAACACAAAAATAAAAAAAGAAGTAAATTGATAATGCTTATTTTAAAAGGATAAGAAACTATTGCTAAATAATGTGAAATTTCCGGCGAAAAAAGGACAGTCACTTCAACCAATAATATTGGAGAAATTGGATGCATAAATTTGAAGCAAGATCTCTCAATGACCTTCATAAAAGTCAATTAAACAATGAAAATTATAGAGAAAAACACAGGAGAAATACCAAAAGACACTGGTATTGTCAAAGACTTCTTGGGTAAAATGTCAGAGGCAAAAGCAAAGATAGAATAACGGGATTACAACAAGCTAAGAAGATTGTGCAGGGCAAAGGAAATACTCAGAACAACTGACAGGATGAAAGAAAGTATTTGCAAACTATCCCTTTGATAATTAATATATGAAACATATAAAGAGACTAGAAAAATCAACAACAAAACAAGCAATTTTGTGAAGAAATGGACATTTTCCAAAGAATGGTGTACAAGTGTCCAACAGGCACATGAAAAAATGCTCAGGAGCACTAGCCATCAGAGAGATGTGAGTTAAAACCAAAATGAGACTATCCCACCCAAGTTAGAAGGGCTTTCAACCCTATATCATATATTATATATTACACATATATAATATTATGTTACATATTATACATATATAATATCATATATGTACATATATTATACATTTTTTTATTGGAAAGGCGGATATACAGAGAGGAGAGACAGAGAGGAAGATCTTCCATCTGATGATTTACTCCCCAAGTGAGCTCAACGGCCTATACTATGCCAATCTGAAGCCAGGAGCCTCTTCCGGGTCTCCCACGCGGGTGCAGGGTCCCAAAGCTTTGGGCCGTCCTTGACTGCTTTCCCGGGCCACAGGCAGGGAGCTGGAAGGGAAACGGGGCTGCCAGGATAGAACCGGCGCCCATATGGGATCCTGGGCGTGCAAGGTGAGGACCTAAACCACTTGCGCCACCGCACCAGGCCCAAGGCTGATTCACTTTTGATCGGGATCCCTAAGAATGGTTAGGGAAAAGCAGTGCAACACAGCCTGAATGCTTGGGCCCCTGCATCCATGTGGGAGACCTTGAAAAAGTTCCTGGCTCTTACCTTGTGACTGGCTCAGTCCTGGACTTTGTGGCCATTTGGGGAATGAACCAGTGGATAGAAGATTCTCTTTCTCTCTCTCTTTCCCTCCCCCTCTCTCTTTTTCTCTGTGTCTCTGTTAACTCTGGACTTCACATACATGCTAAGTCTCACTCTCTTATTTAAATTAAAGATGTATAATCAACCCAGATGTGCATAAAATGATGACTGGATAAACAATTGTAATATGCACTATGAATACTACTACACAATATAAAACTCTGTCTTTCACAGCAAAATCAATGCATTTAAGACCATTATATTTAAGGGAAAAAGCCAGTAACAAAAATAATTACCATGTGTTTTCCCTGATTTGTGGTATCCAGTACTAAGATGTAATGTATATGAGTGAAATTGATATCTTAAAATTTGATTATTACTTATACTCTTTGTCTATACTCCTGCAGAACAATATTTTCCACTAGTTAAATTCTTTATTTAGTGGAAGATTAAGCATGTGGCAAAAAAGTAATTTGAAAGTATGCTGTTGTAGAAATTTAGAAATAAAATGAAGAAAGAGTGAGAGAGGAAAGGTGGGATGTTTCATTATGGGCTTAAAATTGCAAATACAAAATCTGATTTTATGCAAATTCAGTAAATAAAAAAGATGACATGGCTTTTTATTAGGGGAAAAAGAGGTTCTTGTGTTAATGTTTGGTGCTAATTTCCTAGGTAAGTTTCCAGAACTTGCTTTCACACCAAAAGATATCAGTACGCAGATTTCAATAAATAGGCAATTTTTCCCTTGTAAGTTTGCACTTATCCAGTTCTTTAGAAGGTCAACGTTTTGGCTGAACATTCATTATGTATGAGATGTTGGCCTTACAAGAAACTGTCAAACTGTGAAGAATATTTAGCCAATGACAGCAATATCCTTCAGAATTATTTGATTTTACTTACATGAATAAACTGTATTTATTATGTTTTATGACTTTAGGAGTCATCATTGGGAAGTTCTGTCAGGATTCTTGTAAAAGAACACACACAAATATGCTCATAGTATATAATGATGTACAAATATGTTTGCCTTGTGGGCTAGGACAAAAACTTTATATTCAGCTTAAGCTTATACATAGCCAAAAGCTTATTTTACACAGACTTCTCTAACCACTGTGTTAGATACATGGTAGTCATCCAGCGATTGTTGAATTTGGACTGTATTTCTAATGAAAGCAGATTTGGGGAAGTTCTGTCTACCATTAGGCATTAAAAAATTCAATGCTTAAAAATGAGGGCCTAATTATATGACATATACTGCAAGTAGTTCAATTGAACAAATATTTATTGATAATTTATTTCAAATTAACATCAACAAGCTTCAAGTTATGTTTTATGCTGGGAATTTTGATTGGAAGTTTAAAATAGATCATCTTATTAAGACTTTTGTTGGATATCTATTTTGTTTTTAAGTACAAAATCATATTTTTTCTATCAAAACAATACCAAAATCATTAATAAAAATCATAAGCTAGAAACAAATCTTTTCATAGAAAGGATATCTTAACATTCTTTTAAAGCAGTATAACCTGTTTAATACTTAGATGTGTCTAAATGACATATAGTAGCGTATATGTGAATATGGATGTATGTATGCTGGATAATAAGATGTAAGGGTGTATGGATCTGTAGACTGAAAAACAATACAAAAAAAAGAAAGAAAATAAA